TTGGGCGACCTCTTCGCACAATATCCAGCTTTTGGTGGAAGGTCCGTCTTGAAAATTGAGTGGAAAGTAGTTCCGCAACCGGATCGATGTCTTCTCCTTCAGCCATTTTGGGTTAAAATGCAGTGATAGCTCTAGCAGGCGCTTGTCCAATCAGCGAACACGCACATCCAGCCTCGACGTAGGGCATTCTAGCTGGCCCTGGTAGCAGACGAGTCCGATCACAAGTCTGAGACTCGTGATCTGATTGGCTATTGCAAGCTGACTGTGCCCGTTCATTTACAGCGCACAGGGCCTGCTCTGTTTAATCTGAAGGCCCTGAGCAAATGTAATTTACCTGGCAACACAAGCTAGCTGAAATATTATTGGTTAAAAACCCTACCATAATAAATAAGTTATTTATCGAGTGTCTTTCAATGTTACTCGACCAAGTGGAAATAATATGACGTAAAGAATACAGAGAATAATTTTGTCTACATATTTATGAAAATAAAATCACAAATTAAATTTATGTTATTCTCAGAAAATAAATTGATTAAATTTACTTTTCTGAGAATGTTTAGGCCAGCAGAGAAGGCCTTGCTGGCCCTAAGGGTCCGCCACTGGGTTGCATATATGTCCAAGATGAGTCAGGATTTTCTTAGACTGGTGTCAGCAAAGACGTTTCAAAACACTCCACAAGTTTTCCCTTGCTATGTGTTCGATTGCAAGAGAAATGTTTAGAAAGGAAATCTTTGGAATTGAATTATCTCCTTTGTGACAACAGTCCTGGAACCTTTCTGACACACCATATACGTATGTATGTATGTATGTATGTATGTATGTATGTATGTACATTGCAACATGAACTATTCTGATGTAACACCAACAGTAAACATCATCCTTCACTCCCCAATTACTTTTCCATCTCTCCCTCCTCCTACTCACATGTTGCCCTAGCCGCTAATGTCATTTCCCATCATGCCTTGCTCAAGCAACAAACATGACAACACGTCAGTGTGGTCGATCATGGATGTTTTACTGAGTGACTGGGTTATATAACCTTTACATTCTTTGTATTTATATTAATGCTTTTGCTCTCTTTGGAAGTTGCATGATTCGTTTTAAATGAGAATTCTTTACACTTTTTTTTCAATTCAGCACATTAATTGCCTGAATGTTGTGTCATGTTCTGCGGATAACCAACATTAGTGGATGTAAAATTGTAATCTTTCTAACTTGTACCAAAACAAATCGATCTTTTCATTCATGAAAAGGCATCGGGCTCATGGGAAAGCCACAGCTGCATAAAATCAATGAGGGTCAATTTACACGCCAGCCATGGGCATTATCCATCCTACCATTAAAGCAAGAGTCGCCTCTCTCGTCAGTGCACCTAATTATTCATCTGTATCATTTAGATCGCAACAATTCATTTGTTTCACCGCTGGTGTAGCTGCTTCAGTGACATTACTGCTAAAATGTTGACGATGCTGATTATGTGATCTGATTTAAAGCTATGGTTCCCAACCACCGGGTTACATGGATAGATTGAGGAAAATAAATGAATCAATAAATACATACCCATTTTTGCAGAGCACATACTGTACGTTCCGATCGGGAATATACTCTGTGACGGCTGCTTGGGTTCAATTCCAACTGATTGAAATTGTGAATGGTTGTTTTTCTCTATGTGCCCTGTGATGGATGGAGACCAGTCCAGTGAAGTCTGCCTTTCACCCAAAGCCTGCTGGGATAGGTTTCAGCTGCCCCATTGACCCTGTCAAATAATGAATGGACGTTGTATTATTTTGTTCTATAACTCGGTACATTCTATACACAGTGTTTCATCATTCGCATCCCAACTATAGTGCAGATTTTTAAGACTGCGACCTGCACTGAGGTTTCCTGGAAAAGATGCAGCGTAATTAAAAGTAAGAACAGTGTGCAGAGAAGGTCTTCAACTTAACTCCAGTTGTAGTCATTGTGCCCTCAAAGCATGTTTGAAAGTTTATAATTACTGTATCATATAAGATACAGTACTTCACTTTAGCCCATCTATGGCAGTTCACATTATACGCTAGCATGAAGCTAGCGGACTTTCGTTGGATGAAATTTTATCGAATGGTTGAACATTTTGCTTGCTCAAATAGGCAATGTTTAATTCTCTTTTGTGTTATGTGTCATTTAGCAGTAGTAGTAGTAGTAGTAGTACTAATAGTAGAAGTAATAGTAGTAGCAGCAATCATGCTTTGTGCCTTGTACGGAGAACTGTGCAAGCAAAAGAGTCACAGATAGGTGCTAAGGAACACTTAAAAGTGTGTTTGAATCAGTTTAAATGTGTCGAAAGTGTGTGGATATAAAACTGTTTAAAACAACATGGTCTCTCCATTTTGCATATTTGCTTCTATTGCGGGTCTGGAATGTATCTCACTCAACACAACTCAACTCTCAACTCAACTGTATTTATAGAGCACTTTAAAACAACCACCGCTGTATACAAAGTGCTGTACATGGAGCAAATATCACATACAATAATAAACAAGAAAACAATAAATTAGTAACGAAGACAGTAGAAAGCACCAAACAATAAAACTAAGATCAAGTCTGAGTCATGCTGAGTCAAAAGCTAAAGAATACAAGTGAGTTTTTAGACGAGTTTTAAAGATGGGCAGCGAGGGGTCTTGCCCAATGTTCAGTGGGAGGTCATTCCATAGAGAGGGACCAGCAACGGAAAAGGCTCGTATCTCCTTCGATAAATGTGGGTTCGCCGTATACAGTTCTTTCTGCTTTCACTACACCCATCCTCTGCGTCTATCCGTCCATCCTTCACACTCCCACAATCACGGTCGTACGAAACATTAAAGTCAAACTCAGACCATCTATATTTCATATAGCATTTTGCAACCATCAGATGAATAAATGATACGGTTAAAGTGGCCATCACCTCCGCATCAGCATATCACGGTGCCGCGGCCCATTTCTATGCTTTTCTCAATGGCGAGCGTGGCTGCGCGTTTGCGCGTGGGATCGATTTCCGTATGTGAGAGTGTATTCTCACCCAGTGTATTTCATTGTGCCGGCGTGGAGCATGCGCACGCGGTGTGAGCAAGGTTAGGTGTGTACCCTTAAAGGATTAATGAATGCTCAGCTGTGCCCCCGGCGTGAAAAAGAGCAACACCGTTATATTCACCATCTCACCATCACCTCTGTCCTCGACCATTATTACCTCCATAAAGACTCTCTTATATAACATGTTGGACCATTAATGGAAAATCACACTCCTCTCCAACAAAGAACAGACATATAATTACCAATGTGAATGGCACCGCTGCTCCTTATTCTTCCCCAGCAAGAGAGCATGAGAGTGCCACGGAAGGACAGAAAAAGAGGGCAAGAATTGAGAAAATTGATAAGCATTTAGTGAAAGAGGATGTTTGAACCATATGAGGGGAGTACCGTTAATAAGAACACATGAGGAGGGGAAATGGAGGATGCATCTCGGTTAATTCCGCTGAGAAAAACTGCATTCAGCCAATCAGTGTTTTTACAGAAATGGAATACAATACCTCAGCCAATTAGGAAGTCGCCATAACATTATTCTTTTGAGCATCATGAAAAGAAATGATCTGTGGAGACGGATGAGGAAAATTAACCATTAGTCATGTTCCTGTTTGCTTTTGGTTTCAGTTATTGGCGGGAGTTGTGGGTGTTTTCCTCTGATGTCGCACTTGTCACGTATTACCATTGGTGGACGACTTAAGGACCGCTACACCGACAATTTACTGTCGGGTTATTTGCCTTGCTTGCAGCCCATGTACCAAGTGCTTATTGTCCAAACGTCTGATTCTTGCTCATGCCGTGGTTTGTCTTGTGTTGTAAGGAGTGTTCTTGTTAATTTTGTGTTGCTTATTTTTCTTCACGATTCGATTTTTCTTGTCCTTTGGTGACAAGCTATCTGCATTATTTATTTCCTTGCCTTGTGCGAAGGCTTTTTGTTTGTTACGTTTTCTCCTGACTTTGTTCGTCGAGTGATCTAATTGGTACTTTGTTGATTTTGCATAGGTTTTTCTGCCTGAATTTTTATTTTTTTTTATCTGTAAGATTATTTTTGTCTTGGTCTACATTTGTGGGATCCATTTCTGTTCCATATTATTCTGAAATGTAACAGAATAATGCACCATTTGAGTCACTCCTCGTCTTCAATTTACAATATGACAAAGGTTTATAACTGTACATTCTCTCTGTTTAACAAATAATACATTGGAAAATTATTTTGTTTGTTTCGTGTGAGTCACCAAGGTAGCGCTGAATAGATCAAGGCCCTACACTGGTTATCAGCAGATCGTGTCAAATTGTCCCAAATTAGAACAGTTGTCATGAACAGTTTTTAATTCCTTTTTCCGAACGTCTTTCATTTATAATGTGTGCATTCTTAGTCACTAAATTCATTCTTAAGGCTCAATAAATGATCTGCGCAAATGATGAGATTTTGAGCAAATAAATAAATACATCTTTAATGTTACAAGAGCATCTTAATCTCCATTTCCCTGAAATTAGCCACGGGGAGCACTGGATCCCGCACCCGAATCGTTATGCTGATGAACTCCACCAGTGCAAACATATACAGTACCTGTACTTCTAACAGAGATCTTGAGTTGCCTTTATTATGAGCCTACTTACGAGTAAGGCGGCATCCACATGGGCAATGGCATTGGGTAAGAATAGGAAAATGGCAAGCAGTGCTTCTCTGGACCTAAAAAGTCTGGCTGACTATAATGCAGCTCAGGTGTGTGCCGAAGGCTCCGCCCACCCCTGGCAGCGCTGGGGGGAGAAAAAACACAGCACCAGGCAGGAACGTACAGACAACAATCCAACTGAGTGGTTACATAATCGACTGACTCCTGTGATTCACAAATGTTTGTATTTCTTTAACTTTGTGGCTAATTCGATATTTAACTAAACCTGTTTATTTGTTGACAAGCGAACTAAACTACAAATTACACTGACAACTAAGTTGTTTATTGACTTATCTTGACTACAAAATATAAACTACTATTACACTGATAACATCATCACGGTTATTGCTATCCATCTTGGGAAAAAAAATGGACATGATGGATTTCTCTCTCGGTGTAAAATCGGAACAATAGGAATTTAAAGGCTTCACAGTCAAAACCTAGACTTGAAACATGTATTCTCACCCACAAAAATGTTTTACAGGGCCACTTCCTCCGGTTTCTTTGCTTAGCCACAGAATGAACATAAAGTTACTTTTGCGTACTATATTTATGTGCAGCATTTGCAGTACCTGTCCAATCTCTTGTGTTGCTTCCTGTTAATCTTTCAGGAGGGAAATCTATTGATAATCCCTCATCCCATTTTCTCCTTTTTATTATCATGATTGTGTTTGGAAGTGTTCTGCATCATATGGATAAGTGTTCATTTTTATCCCTCAAGAGAGTGCTTTTGTGGATTTTTCGAGCCCATCTCTCAGAGAAGCACACCACACACACCCAAGCATGCAAGCAGAATTGTCAAGAATGTGTAGTACAAATCAAACTCTTGGTCTGTATTTCATGGGATTGTACAGGTGTATCTTTTCCATTTAAAAATGTCACACAGCTTCTTATTTGTAGAGCAAACTGCACTGTCAAGGTACATACAGTACATTAGTATTTCCATTCTTCCTCGCTTCCATCCATCCATTTTCGAATCCGCTTATCGTCACGAGGGTCGTGGAGTGCTGGAGTCTATCCCGGATGTCTTCAAGCAGTAGGCGGGGGTACACCCTCAACTGGTTGCCAGCCAATCAGAGGGCATCTTCTTTGCTTCCTTTCCTTAAAATTACCTGATTGCCATGATAGTGTTGAGAGAGAACAAGAGGCCCCTGGTCACTGATGTCTGTGAGATTATCTCCATAGCAGACGGCCGAAACACAATCTCACTCTCCCTCACCAAAGGAAAAAAAAAAAGCAAAAGATGCAGAACATGTTGAGGACACACATGAACTGCTCTTCTGTTAGTCAGTGACATTTTCTGTCACGGTGCTTTATTGAGTGTATGCGTGAGTAAACATGCCATTGGCAAAGGCACAACCATTCAAACATATTGCTCACATCCAGAAGATGGAACTAACAACAATTTGACTCACAGTGGGGGGCAGGTGCGTTTCTACATGTTTATATGTTAGTGTGTGTGTGTGTGTGTGTGTGTGTGTGTGTGTGTGTGTGTGTGTGTGTGTGTGTGTGTGTGTGTGTGTGTTTGCGTGTACTGTATGTGTAGGCATTTACATAATATTCATCCTTACCCCACCTCCCCACCCCAAGCCTGTCCGCCTGTGTTTATTCATTGCCATGCATCCAAATGCTTATTATGGTGAACAGCAGTGTGCATGGCTGCATTATGACTCATTTGTGTGTTACAAATTCCCTCCTGAACACATCTAACCTTCATGGTTCAACTTCTGGGTGACTTCGTGTGTTAGTCAACACATGGACGTGGGTTACGGACCCCCCACCACCACCACCACCACCACCACTGTGTAAGTCGATGGAGGGGTGGTAGGTGATCAACACAGTGCCAATATGCTCACTTGCAAAAATTTGCTGTCTTTTCCTTTCTCTCAACATGTCCATTTCCTGCAGCATCAGGAGAGCAAGTGAAAATGAAGCATATGCTAAGCTGTCGGCCGTCATTAAGCAAAGAGACAGAGAAGTCATCTCAATTGGGATACTGCTCTGTGTACATTATTGCATTTAATTAACGTCAACAGAATATTTGACTTCCCTCTTTTGGACCCTTTGTCCTCCCATTTCTTCGTGTCTTATTTGGATGAAGAAACATCGGCGATTAAAAATTTAAACATCATTTCCTAAATAATTGATCAAGGAGTGGCATATGTTAAATACGTGTTGAAAGCATGCATTAGATTTGTTTTGTATACAAATCAGCTGCAGGCATTCACCCTTAGGGGGGAAAATCGCAGCCTGGGAGAATTGGCAAATACTGATGGTTGTATTATTTAGATTGCATGGATGCTATTCTTTTGTAGCATCTGTTTATACCATGTGCGTTCGCGCTGGAAAGTAAGTTGAAATAGTGCAAGGTTAGAAAAGCGGTCGAAAAACATGTTGCTGGCGTAAATTGTGTATGACATTTTGAAATATTGAACAGGGTGCAACTTTTCTGGTTTTAATGCCAGTTGTAATTTCGGGTCTTTCTTTCTTTAGTGTTTGTATGAATATGATTCTGCTAACCGTTCATTAAATTTATTTCATGTGACTTTAGGGTAATATGATGTGAAAGGTGAAATCACAAATTTCTGAATGGGTGGGACAGGCACATAAAATAAGGCACAAATATTTGTTTATAGTTTATCGGTTCTATCAAAGGATCCGGATTATAAATGCTGCATAAATGGCATGAGCGACCTCTGAAATGCAGCATGTGGGGCATATGCAATGCACAGCTGAGGCTTTATCACTTTAATCACAAATGTTGCCAGTGTCATATTTGGCAATCTGAACTCCTGCCAACATTTGGTACCATCTGTGCCTACTTTAGCGGGACTGATGGATGGCAAATGGCTGAGACATTACGAACCTTATCAAGATGTTCGCCGTGAGCGACAAAGTGTTGAATTTTGAGTGAAAGTGAATACGATGGAAAGTAAAAGAAATAAGAATTGCTGTGAGGTTTGGGCTGGAGAGGGGTGGGGGGGGGGTCCTCGCACTAACACAGATCATGATCATCATGTTGGCAGGATCTGAAAGATTACACACATCAATAGTTGATGAGTCTCCACAGAGTTGTGCTCAATTCCCTCTTCTATAAATTACTAAATAAGGGCATTTACATCACAGCGCTACTGCAAACTTTTTTCCTTTTCCCCACTCTTTCTTTTCATCTTTGCTCATTTTAACTTGGACGCAGCCCATTTGACCCTCGTGAACTCATGAGCGATAAGAGAGACGAACGGAGAGAAAATTCCAGACAACATCTTCAGTGCTGTTTTAATTTGTGAGTGAAGATAGACAGAAAGTGACGAAGAGTGACTGAATGGAAAAGGAGACGTGGTAGACGCAAACACCTAAAAGACCGACATCATTAATAGATGTGGCCCGCCGATACACATGAATTATGCAACTTTTATATTCAAGAAAATTACAAACACAACCCATCGGGAAAGAATGGAAAGGAATCATTATCTGTCGACTTCAACCTTTGTACAATGCACCGAATTTTTAATTATTCATCTGCATAAACAAATAACACATGAATAAGGGAACTCTGTTCAAGCCACCCAAGCCACAGCAGTTGCGCAAACTTCTTCTGTAACTTTATTTTTGCCCTGAGAGGATCTTGATGATGAACATCAGGAGAGATGATAATGATATGAGCGTAATGCTGAATTAATGCCTGGTCGTTTTGCTATTGGCTGGAATTAACCTTGAGATGAGCCCTTGGAAGAAACACCATTTTTTTTTTTTTTTTTTTTAACGCTCTTGATATTTCTTTGTACTCCTCCCACCTATCCATCCGCTCATTAGAATTTTCAATTAAATGCGCTAGGAAGACAGGCTACTGACAGAAAACCCACGCAAGCACAAAGAGAACATGCAAATTCCATACAGAAAGGTCAGAGCCGAGATTCAAACCCAGAACCTCAGAACTGGAGGGCACATACAGTATATCCACCATGTTGCGCCTTTGTACTGCATATTAATAGACTGATTTTTGTGATTGATGAAACCAGTCGATATGATAGGGTGTTGCACAGCAGTTGTGACACTGAGAACCTGCGGGGTTGGTTCCCTTGTTCAAGGATGCCTTGGTTGCTGAAGCCATCCAGTGTTTCTCCAGCAACCAGTCCAAGTATAATGTTGCGTTTTATTTTGCCTGGGTTTTATATGCAGGTGCGTGTGTGTGTGTGTGTGTGTGTGTGTGTGTGTGTGTGTGTGTGTGTGTGTGTGTGTGTGTGTGTGTGCATGCATGCTCAGAAAGCATTTGTTGAAAGATTTTGATCAAAATACACATTACATGAGATGAAAGTTAAACAATCTGATGAAATATGACTCCCATTTTTGCCTGCAAATCTTAAATGATACGTAACCATCACAGTTAAAGGCTTGTGGGGTTTGAGCTGGACAGCACGCACACACACACACACACACACACACACACACACACACACACACACACACACACACACACACAGACACACACACACACACACACACACATAGAGGCATCAGACCCATGAGAGCAGGACAGTGAATATGTCAGACAAGGTTAGAGTGGCTGTAGCTGAAGTGAGTGGAGGACAGGAGGACGCCCTGCAGTGACCACACAACATTGCCCTTTGGGGATCTGACTGAAAGTGAGCAACAGCACACACACATACACACACTTCCCTGTGTGCAAAGACTATACTGTAGTCACCTTCAACAGAGCATATGTTTCACATTGGAAATACAAAAAAAAAAAAGAGGGGAGCCGCTAATTCAGGTACCGGTCATTCGTGCTGGCAGTGTGGTTGTGAGTGTGAACGGTTGACTGTTTCTACATGTACCCAGTGATAGAGCGACAATCACCCCAGGATGGAGTCTTGCTTTTGCCTCAAGTCTCACGGGATAGATTAGAGATCCCCGCAAACCTGAGCAAGAATCAGTCGGCGGTAATGTTGAAAAGAAGCTCGCCATTCAGTCAAAGATGTTGAAAACTTTATCCACGCA